GCAGTTTTTGAAGAATAATTTCTATTTTCATTGTTTGTTTTTTTTGCAAACCAAAAAAAATGACTTTTTTAATCTCCACACTGAACTTGAACAAAGAAGCAATAGTGCTATATGATATTGTTAAATAAATGCATAATTGTACATCTAATCGCTAAAAATATGTTGTTGCCTTGGAAACCAAACCTAATTTGGAATAAATCACACTTACTTAATCTAACTGTAACAACTGATCAACCTGAAATAACATAAAATAATCCATGACTAATTTTACAAATTTATAAATAGAAAGCGTACATTTACCTTAATACCCCCTAATGTAGTCTGATCAACCTTGCTGCATCAGCAAAGATTCAACAACATATAACTCGGCACAATTCATATTTCAATACACCCATGTGTAACAAAATGAAAAGAAACAATTTAGCTCAGTACTTTTGCAACACATTATTAAATTTCATTCAATTTGAAAAAAAAACAATAAGGATAATACTGGGAATTTAAAACCTCTAGACCAGACCATCCAGTCTCTCCATTCAAATGACAGATGCACTGACACACAGATGTTTCATTTTAGCCTAACACCATCTTGTTTAGTTTCTTATGTTCAATATTGCTACCTGTTCAAATATTTACAAATGTACAATAGGAGCATTAAATTTCACTTTATTTCATTATCTGTTGTTGATCACCAATGCATCCATAAATAATCCATAAATACTGCTGAACCAAAAGTCTTCGAACATATTTAATGCCAAATGAAATCCATTGTACAAATTCCATATAGAACTTGTATTAATTCGATCATAAAGCAAAAACATTTTACCACAAGTACTTTTTTCTGTATAATTTTTCTAATAAACAATAATACAGTCAAGTAACCTAATTTCGTGGAAACCTATTATTCGTGGATTTCCGGAAAGGATTAATAATTTACATGAGTGACCTTGCGCGACCTCCGCATTAGTTTGTTTTGATAAACATGGGTTTTCTCTACAATATCAGCTAGTAAAATGAATTCAGTACTTTCAAGCATGGTAAAATGTATTAATGTTTACTTTGACAAATACAAAATGGCGGATTTCACTTATTACCAAACGTCACAATTTTTTATTGGCCGAATTTCCTTATAATCCCAAGCGGTAATTGGAATTCTAAGTGTTGTCTGCTAGAATATATTCCAACAAATGAAGTCACGTGATCAACTAGCGGATTCTGTGTCAGCAGAAAATTTCTATGGAACACAAAGTGGACCATATTCTTATGTTCTTTCAGTGACTTTTAGCAATAAAATACGCTACGTATCTTATTTTGTCAGTCACTATTTTTTTTTAAAATCGTGGTTCTTTGAACGAATTGTCATTAGTTATAATGAATTGATATTAAAGATAAATACTAACAGAAGTTAATTATACCACCTGGTATCCATACAACGTGTTTTTCTAGACATAATCAAACATTGTACACGAAAATAGGTGACGCATTCTGCCGCCGTTGCCGAGTTGGTTGCTCATGAAATATGGGTCAAAGTGAAGGATTCATAAAAAAAATCGAAATAAACCAATTTTAATTATTTTGTAGAATATTTGAGGAAACGTCTAAGACATAAATTTTTTTTTTCGTTTTTTTAACTTTGACGAAATTCGGTGTTGAATCCTTATATCCACGAAAATAGGTTACACCACTGTACTAAATCTCCAGTGACAAACCGGAAAACACATATTTTATACACTCCACACAGAAGAACAAAATAAAGGGGGATAATTCAAATGGACCTAATGAAGATGAAAATCATTAACAAAATGCGGCAGTATTTATTATACATCTATTTGTAACCGGTACTTATAATGAGGCCAGTGGATAACAAACAATTTTACTATAAATGTGACTTACAAAATCAATCTGCAAACACAAGTATCACAGCCTGAAAAAAAAAATGATAATCCATGATTAACGTTTACAAAAACCGAAAACATGAATTATTACACAAAATGGTACATTTTGTCTTCAAGTCAAATCGCCCAGCTAAGGTTGTCACAACGACCAATACAGACTACATGCAACCAGTGATTTTCTTGTATTCATCGCCATGATATCGACATGGCAAAACATCAACGCAAAGGTGGTTAGGCCTAATTCAAATAAATGAGTTAATGATATAAAATATCAATAAACGAATGAAGCCAATAAATATTATACATCCAATGGGTAAGAAATATTGCCTTGTAACTCAAACATAACTTTAAAATAAATCACACTTACTTAATCTAACTGTAGCAACTGGTATCACAACCTGAAACAAAATATAATAACCCATAACCAATTTTTACCAACGAAAACGGCCATCTTCTCTGACTGCCCAACCCCTTACCTGATCAACATTGCTGCATCGGCAGAGGATAGACTACAAGCAAAGGCGATTTATTTCATATTTCGCATTCCCATCTGTTGTAAAAATAAGTATATAGACTTCTACTTTTGCTACAAGCTTAAGCATTCCCAATGATTCATAAATAAAAAAAAACACCCACACACTTCGATACGGCCGGTAAAAATGGACATCGTCATCTTCTATCATTATCATTTTGCTACAAAACCATAAACCTTCAGACAACCGTTACTAATTACAATCCAGAACACATATATAAATATACAACATAATACAACACTTACCTGTCAATGGCCAAAGTATAAACAACAAAATTCTCAACAATAATCTCCACTGAAAAGTTTCCGAAAAATATTCAAGACAAAGAAACTACACGTGTTTAGTCTCGATCAACCAAATTCCATAAAAATTGAAACAAAAGTAAGACTGGATATAAGAGACAAATATTCGCCCTGTCCCTTTTTGATAATATTCAAAGCCGATCAATTAGATAAACATGTTTTTAGTAGCCACTGGATAAAAATTAATATCATTTTACTCACAAAATCAACTTTTACATACGAAATCAAAAACCGAAAAATAAAAATATAAAAATACACGACCAACATTTACGCAAACCGGAACAAACGAAACATACATTTCACCTTCATCAAAATCGCCCCGTTAGGCTAGTCATATCGACCTTCCTTAGCCTACATAATTATAACATATCATATATAATATATAACAAAATGCAACCTAGCAATGCACTTTCCATAGCATTTCAAAGATGTTCCGAATCTTGAAAACGAGGTCCGATTTGTCTCTATAAAAAAATTATCTTTGGTCCAAGTTGTCACATTTCCTTTATTGTACTTATCTCCCGTATAACATAAAATTCCGACAAGCAGTCGAATAAACCTATGATAAGAAAGTTGAAGTGGGTATGGCATATCCCAGTTAAATTTACTTAATGTTTATATTTAGGGCAGAAGCATAACTCGCATAGAATACATTTGTACAAGGTCAGTATATAATAAAAGCTCAGGTGTTTCGGCTTTGTAACACAAAAACGAAATTTCTCAACTTTAGACTGTTAACCTAGAAAACATATTGATACACGACCGACATTTACACAAACCGGAATCAAATTACAAACAAAAACGTACATTTTACTTTCATTAAAATGGCCCCATTAGGCTAGTCATATCGACCTATTCCATAATATTGTCTTCTGTTTTGTTATACATATCAACCTTACTTAGCTTACATAATTATACTATATCATGCAACCGAGCGATGCTAATTCCATTGTATTTGAAAATTCTTCCGAATCTTGAAAATGCTGGTCCCAGTTGTCTACATAAAAAAGTAATCAGAATGGTTCATGTTGTTACGTGTTTCTTCATTGTACTTACCTCCCTTATAACAAAAAATGCTGACAAGCACTCGCACATAAATGAACCTGTGATATAAAAAAAAAGTCGACGTGCCCATGGCACATACCGGTTAAATTTGCTAATCGTTTATATTTTCGGACAGGTTTGTGAAAAGTTCAATTATTTCCGTTTTGAACCTCAGAGACGAAAAATTCTCAACTTTGGAAATGTGACACTTAGATCACCAACAGTTAAGATCATCTTGCATATTGTTAAAACAATGAATGTTATAATATGTTGTAACAGTATTTTACCCGACATCAATTAAAGCTCCCTATTTCAGCTATTCTTAATAACATTGAAGATATCAAAACGACAAATCTGCACTAATTCTAGGTTTGTTGGTATGCTGTATCGTAAAGTTTATCTTTAAAGTCTAACGCACATATGCTAGCTGCAAAGATTCTAGCTGCTTTAAATAATGCACACCCTCATACAGACTGCAGTGTGCCAACACACAAATTTTGCCAAAACACACCATTAGCCAACTGATCGATTTGCAACTGTCAAGGGATCTTTAATTTGCACATCCTGTACCACAGAGATTAATCTAGGGTCATGTGGATACGATATTTTCATGTTGCCCCTAATGCAAAACCATCTAGTCTTCAAATAAACAATACCCAAGTGTGCTAAAAAGTGGTCAGAACTGTAATATACAATCAACCATTTGTGGTTAAAACTACAATAAAATAAAACAAAACTTTTTTATTTTACTATAAAACTTAACAAATATCAATATAAATAACATACATAATCACACAAACAAAAGCCTAACATGTTGAAACTAAAAATATTCATAACATATTGTTGATCATTCACAAATAAAACTGCTACCCTCAAATTGCACCTTACCTACACAATGATTGAACTATTTATTAATATATGTTTTAATCTCTAATACTAATATGCACAAATTTGAAAATAAAACAATCATTAACAATGCACCACAACACAAACATCACAAAATAACAAAAAATGATCTTAACATGCTAAAGAAAGTTCAATACATAACCCAATGTATATAACTGTAATCAAACATCAATCACTGCAATTATCATTTACATTATCATACATGTAAAAATTTAACATTAAAATTTTACTATCTACATTTTAACAAACCAACAATACTATGCAAAAACAAAAGCTATATAAAAGTCATAAAAACTTGTGCCATTCTAGACTTTACACAAAACTTAATCCACTACTGGATCAAATGTGATTTCCTTTACATTCGACTCATTCAAAACTACACCCATTTTGCCATTTTGTTTTATGATGTATTCCTCTAAACCTTTAGGATCAGTCAATAAATGTTCCTTATTGACCTTAACAACAAATTCTTTCATTGCAAAATTATGAATTGTTAATTTTTGGTTTACTCCATTTGCTTGAATGCCATCAATTCTTGTGGTCATGACAGCAACAAGTTTTGAAGTTTTGGCTAACATGTCGCATTTGCTACATCTTACTGTAGCAACATGTTTCACTTGCCCATAGTTGACATCATGCCCACAACATGGACATTTCACCTTTAATTCACATTTTACACCATTAACATCAATTGAAATGTGTTCACTGTCAGTATCATTCTTGCCAACATCGTATGTATCTCCTAAAAGTTGAAACTCTGTTTCTTTTATTATGGTTTGTTTCCTAACAGTAAGTTTGTTGATATTATTTATTTTACGCAAAGCAACATTGTGAAATTGGTAACTTTTACCCTTTTCTACACCATCAATAAGACTGCCATACATTGAGATATTTAATTTGTATGTACCATCTGTCACTGCCACATTTTGGCAGTTTTTCCTGCTACCAAAAATCATGATCTCTATTGGCTTTCCAATGCTTATCACTTTTCCTGATAAAGAGTACTGAAAACAACAACAAAATAATAAATAAAAATAATCTGAACAAAATTTACAAAATTTCACACTATACCAAAACATACCTTGCCAGGCGAGTAACATATGCCCATTGGCACCTATCCAAAGTAATATTTTTAAGTACAATTTAAAACAACTAGCATTACATAATTATCCAAAATGTTATCAAACAAAAACCAACTTCAGTTCCATCAAAATCATTTAAAAATTAAACCTAAGCAATTGTGCTCACTTACAAATTTTGAACCGTTTTTACTTCATCAATTGCAATAACACAAATAATTTTGATTTCTAGATGTTAAATAAACAAATTTATGGCATATGCAATTAAAATACAATACTCACAAAGCCACAAAGATCTAAAGGTTTCACAAAAACATCTGCAATTGTTATGGATTGAATTTGTATTTCTTCATTCAGTTGCTGCCTTTTTTCAAACCCTAATGGTTCTGTTACGTTGCTAATGATCGTTTTATAATTTGTGAACAACTTTTGTCTTCGGTTTTCAAGCTGACATCTAAAAAATAAAAAAAATTTCATACATGAACCTCATACATATTGTAAAACACATTATAATACAATTCATTACAAATGCTCACACTAATGCTGTAATTTTTTTTGTAACCATGTACTTTGGAAATCCATACAACAATACCATATTTCATTGTATTGTTGTGCAACATTTATCTACCTATTCATAGAAGCTACAAGTTTATTGAATTATAATTTATTTAATACTCTCTGTTGACATAACATACCTAACATTTTTGACAAACACCGCACTATCTTCCTTCTCCGCTCTCTGAAACGACTTCCATTTCTCTGGTGTCAAACACACAACTTCACTAACATCACTTTCACTTTGAAGTTTACAAGTAAAATATGCGTTGTTTTTCTCGCTGATCTTCACCGGTGACACATTATGTATATATCCACACACATCTGTCAAATCACTATCATCTGTTTTCTGTCTCTTTCTGTCCACATGCTCAGCCATTTCTTCCTTAAATAAAAAGGCAACTATATAATTCCTCCAAAATCTAACTAAACTCGAATTTGTTCACCATCTTGTCGATAAAAATATCACATCAACTTTTATAAATATTCAACAAAAAAATGTAACCTCTATTATGTTCACAAGCAGGTTTTGTCCAGAACACTTTTAAGCGCCTACTTTTCACCAGTTAAAACCATCCTGTCTAAAACCACTTTAGTAGGGACAAAAATGGTTGAAAACATTACCTTCTATTTAGTTCTATTCTGTCTGCAAAAATGTATCAAATATGCCGTTCTAAATGTCTTATCTATATGACAGCTGAAAATCTCACACAGTTTTCTTTCCTTTCCAAATCTTGCTTTACTTAACTTCTCTTTACTTAACTTCACTTCAAAACTATCCTGTAATATTCCAATCACAATTATAATAAAAACAAAAACTTCACAATTAGCTATAATTACATAAATTGTTCATCAAGCATGCTGATACACACAATTTAAAAAAAAAAACATTGAACACATGCAAATGTATTACAATTATACTAACCATCACTACAAGCAAGACAATTAGTACAGTGGTGTAACCTATTTTCGTGGATATAAGGATTCAACACCGAATTTCGTCAAAGTTAAAAAAACGAAAAAAATTTTTATGTCTTAGATGTTTCATCAGATATTCTACAAAATAATTAAAATTGGTTTATTTCGATTTTCTTTATGAATCCTTCACTTTGACCAATATTTCAAGAGCAACCAACTCGGCAACGGCGGCAGAATGCGTCACCTATTTTCGTGTACAATGTTTGATCTATAAATAAATCAAGAAAAACACGTTGCATTGATACCAGGTGGTAAAATTAACTTCTTACTATTTATCTTTAATATCAATTCATTATAACTAATGACAATTCCTTCAAAGAACCACTTTTAAAAAAAAAAAATAGTGACTGACAAAATAAGACACGTAGAGTGATTCATTGCTTAAAGTCACTGAAACAACATAAGAATATGGTCCACTTTGTGTTCCATGGAAATTTTCTGCTGACACGGACTCCGCTAGTTGATCACGTGACTTCATTCGTTGAAATATTTCCGATTACCTCTTGGGATTATAAGGAAATTCGGCCGGTAAAAAATTGTGACGTTTGGTAATAACTGAAATCCGCCATTTTGTATTTGTCAAAGTAGACATTAATACATTTTACCTTGCTTGAAACTACTGAATTCATTCTACCAGCTGATATTGTAAAGAAAACCCATGTTTATTAAAACAAACTAATGCGGAGGTCGCGTTAGGTCGCTCATGTAAATTGTTAATCGTTTCCGTAAATCCACGAATAATAGATTTCCACGAATTGTACTAAATTTCTAAATGCGCAAAAAATCATGTCAAAATAGCAAAATCTGCAGCAAAATAATTGTAATACTGAAAACAAATCTGATTTCATTGATATCATGAATATATACGTAAATGAAACAAAGTTAAAATTCTCCAACCTTCTATCTGCCACTAAAATTATAAATTTTGCACACAAGGTTTAATGCACGTCTGTTCTCTTCAAATTCATCTGCGCAAAAGAACATTAAATTGGCGGGAACAAAAGAACACGTGACAACACACTGACTCATCACTGTGTTAACCAATAATTATTTGCCGCCTTGTCCCTTTTTGATAAAATAGCCAGCCGATCAAATAGACAAACAAGCTCTTATTAGCCACCAAATAAAAAATAATTACAGTTTAAATCTTACTCACAAGTCAACTTTTACATACGAAATCACAACCCGAAAATTAAAAAATAATAATACACAACCGACATTTACGCAAACCGGAATCTAGTTACAAACGAAAACGTATATTTCACCTTTATTAAAATCGCCCCGATAGGCTAGTCATATCGACCTTCCATATCAAACACCTTTAATGACTTTTATTGACCTATATCTTTTGACTTGTATGATGTAAAACCTTTAAATTTGGTACGCAACATTTTGAATATCAATTTACTCATGAGGTGGGCGTGGCACATCCGAGTTAAATTACTCATTATTGACATTTTTCACAAAAGCGTAACTCGCTAAGAATGCATTTGTTCAAAATGGAACTTACCATACAATTTCCTCATGTTTTGAGCCACTTTGTCTTAGAAATTCAGTTGATTCAGCTTCATAGTTAAAAAAAGAACAGATTTTAAAAATTTTCAATTTTTAACTGAGACCTTTGTAAGATCAAACGTCATTGGCAAACGTACAAAGTGAATAAAAATTGAAACATTTTTGCACAACCGAAGTGCCACAGTTAAACATGTGCAAAAAGTCGAAAATCGGCTCTAGAAGGCGCAATTTTGCCTCGATTTTCATCAGGTTTTCATTTTTACAATCTACCTGTTATTTCTGACCTGTTACCAGTTGAAAATTACGAAATTCGAAAATTCGTCGCTCACTTTTTTCGATCAAATTTTTCGATTTTTTTTGCTTTTGCATCGATTGATCTGAAATTTTAAACGCAAAGAGACTTCACTAATGTTAATAATATGATACAGTCATTTGTACATCATTTCCGATTTTCAACAGGAAAACGACTGAACTTCAAATCTACTTCCGGTTGAATAACTTCCGGTGTAATTTATGTAGGTCAACAAAATTTGGCTGATCTTTGGCAAATAAAATATTATGGCCGATTTTAAAATAAAATCCAGACCGGAAGTGATACTTTGGCCGCCATATTGAAAAAACACACTTTTGTAAAACTCAAAATGGGGCCTCAGGGTAAATGTTGATATGCTCAAATTTGATGTGAATGTATTCCGCAATCGATTGCGCAAAAAACGTTGTGAGCCGAATTTTGAATTTCGCTTTTGCTTTTTTGCAACTTCCGGTTGAAATTTTTTCATGCTTTAAACGATCACACCATGTGACCTTGACCTTTGATGACCTTGACCATCATAGGGTCAAAGGTCATTGACCTTGGCTATCATTTGATACTTTGACCTTTGACCTCCGACATGTACTTCCGGTTTTATAGCTATCCGTAAAAAGCCAAATTCGCAACTTTGGACTGCTCTAGCACGTGACCTACTTAACCTAGAGGGTTAATTTTTTCGGTTTCCTAATGTGCTTCTCATGCCCTTTACATAGATATATAACAATCGTTCTTTTAAAGCAAAATTGAAATTCGTGATTTTTTCAAATTTGACGTTTTTTTTACAATATTTGCGTCTTTTTGAGCTTGGTGTATGTATATCTTATGATCTATTTGATGTAGAACCTTGCTATTTGGAATACAACTAGACACTTTGAATATGAATTCACCTATGACAAAAAAACTTATGTGGGCGTGGCACATCCGGGTTGAATTACTAATTGTTTACATTTTGGAGCTGGGGCATAACTCGCATAGGATGCGTTTGTTCAAAAAGAGACTTTGCACACAATTACCTCATCCCTTTGGCCAGTTTGTGTTAACAGCTCAGTTGTTTCAGCTTTATATTTTCAAAAAAGGAACGGATTTAACATTTGGATATTTTCATTTTTCGATTTTGACCTTTGTTGACTTTTGTTGACCTATATCTTTTGACCTCTATTATGTAGGAACTTGACATTTGGAATATAACGTAACATGTTGAATATTAATTAACCTATTCAAAAAAAATTAAAGTGGGCGTGGCACTTTCGGGTTAAATTTCTCATTATTGACATTTTTGGCCAGAGGCATAACTCGCAAAGTATACATTTATTCAAAATGGAACTTTGCACACAATTACCTCAAATTTTGAGCCACTTTGTCTTAGAATTTCAATTGTTTTTGCTTCATAGTTCAAAAAAAGGAACAGGTTTTGGAAATTCAAAATTTTCAATTTTTGACCTTGACCTTTGATGACCTTGACCTTTATTGGGTCAAAGGTCATTGACGTTGTCTATTAGTTTATGCTCTCATATTTGAGATGGGCGTGGCACTTTCGGGTTAAATTTCTCATTATTGACATTTTTGGCCAGAGGCATAACTCGCAAAGTATACATTTATTCAAAATGGAACTTTGCACACAATTACCTCAAATTTTGAGCCACTTTGTCTTAGAATTTCAATTGTTTTTGCTTCATAGTTAAAAATAAAAAACAGGTTTTGGAAATTCAAAATTTTCAATTTTTGACCTTGACCTTTGATGACCTTGACCTTTATTGGGTCAAAGGTCATTGACGTTGTCTATTAGATTATGCTCTCATATTTGACCTCTGACGTCTACTTTCGCTTTTATAGCTGTCCAAAAACATCCAAATTCGCAACTTTGGACTGCTCTAGCACGTGACCTAATTAACCTAGAGAGTAAATTTTTTCGGTTTCCTAATGTGCTTCTCATGCACTTTACATAGATATATAACAATCGTTTTTTTAAAGCAAAATTGAAATTCGTGATTTTTTCAAATTTGAGTTTTTTTTTTTTACAATATTTGCGACTTTTTGAGCTTAGTGTATGTATATGTTATGATCTATTTGATGTAGAACCTTATTATTTGGAATACAACTAAAAACTTTGAATATGAATTCACCTATGACAAAAAAACTTATGTGGGCGTGGCACATCCGGGTTGAATTACTAATTGTTTACATTTTGGGGCTGGGGCATAACTCGCATAGGATGCGTTTGTTCAAAAAGAGACTTTGCACACAATTACCTCATCCTTTTGGCCAGTATGTATTAACAACTCAGTTGTTTGAGCTTTATAGTTTCAAAAAAGGAACGGGTTTAAACATTTGGATATTTTCATTTTTCGATTTTGACCTTTGTTGACTTTTGTTGACCTATATCTTTTGACCTCTATTATGTAGGAACTTGACATTTGGAACATAACGTAACATTTTGAATATTGATTAACTTATACAAAAAAAATTGAGTTGGGCGTGGCACTTCCGGGTTTAATTACTCATTATTGACATTTTTGGCCAGGGGCATAACTCGCAAAGTATAAATTTGTTCAAAATGGAACTTTGCATACAATTAC